CCTAATCTCTAGCCTTGCCCCTCTTCCTCCCAAATCTTTCTTACAATTAATTCTCCAGGTCTAGTCTCCCCCTTGTCTCCTATTTCTACAGGTTTCTGTTCCCTTGGTCTCTTTCCCCATTTCTTATCACTCCAGGAGTACCATTTTTACAGTATTTTTTTAAAAATAAGGCTCCAAATTATTGTGATTGTGTTACGGCTATGGGGGGTGAGGGTGGGAGGCGATCAAATGGCTGCAGGGAAAAAATGGTATTTGAAACACGTCCGTTTCGTGTTATCTAGATAACTACCGCAAATTCAGCTAGAAATTAACCCAGTGATTTCTAACAAAATCAATTGTCAACCATTTATCTCTTCTAAACTCGACACATGAGCAGGTGAGCTTTAATCAAACTATCCCTCTTAAAGTGAAATATTGACAAAATAATTGTCCAGGGCATTATATCAGCTTTGTGAACCTTCCAGAAAACCATGCCTATTCACTCAGCCCCTACAAACAAAAGATTTGTTTTGGAGTAATTTCACTTAGCAACAGTGCACATCTTAACCAGACTCAACTGTGCCACTTAATCTGATTTTACAATTCCGTTTTCTAACCACAGGAAACTTGCAAGAGTTTTAGATCACTATGTTTTTAAGTGTTATTGGGCCCATTCCAGAAAAGCTTACAAATACAAAAATCCATGGAACTCACATGAATAACGGCTACTTGAATAAATAAGGGGTTATAAAATTGGGATTACCATTATTACATACATTTAAGAAGGTATCTGTCACTGTACAGATGGACAACTTTTAGCCAATTTATAACGACAATTTCCCCAAAATAAGGGGACATACACTCTGCGTCAAACTGAAATCACCAACCCCCACATTTGTGAAAGGACCAGAAGCAGAGAATTACTAAGAGATTCCAACACCCACAGCAAAAATGTGCACAATTATTTCACTGCATGAATATTTATCCCATCTAGTTCAATAAATTTATTTAAACGTAACAGGACTTGTAAGATACTACAGCAGTCACCATTATCTCTGAAAGGAAGGGGTCTATATTTTAGCAGTGAATTGTAACAAGTTAGATTCACCAGTCACCTGAACAGAGTTCAGTTTGTGTTCACACAGAGCTTTTCTGATATCAAAGCCACATTTATGTGTTTTCACCTACCATGCACTGCTGCCTAACCAGAGCCCCAATCCTGCAGTGAGTGCTGCTTGGACAGATCTTTGCACCTGGGCAGGGCCCCATTGACATTAGGGGTCTGCCCAGAGCTCGGTGCAGGATCAGGGCCTGTATTTGTATCAGTGCATTTTGGAAAGTAAGAGAAAGAGTGCATCTAGGACATGCACCCACAGGGCACTCTAGGATGTCCTGTCGCACAAACAGCTGGAAGGGGGACAAGCCAAACCTGTTACACAGGCATGGTTAGGGAATCCTGTCCATATTGAAAGGGGAAAAAAATGCTCTGAACCAATAAAGCAAAGACAATCACATTCCAGTACTCTGGCTGGCCACAGTTACAAACTTTGAATATTTAACTATGGTGGATGCAGATATACCACACATTTAGAGCCAACCATGCCAGTAACTGTAAAAACGTATTTAAAAGTTGTGGTGTGGAAAGGGGCTTGCTCTGTCCTACAAAGTGAACTAAATTATAAGGTAAAATCCCAGATATTTGTGGAAAGGAGCTCCAACAGAATAGAGTATTTTAATTTAGGGGCTGTCTGCATTAGCCTTTTCCCCCTAAAAATTTCCATGGGTTCAGCTTAGGGTTGCCAACTTTCTGATTGCAGAAAACCCGAACACCCTTGCCCCGCCCCTTTCCTGACACCCCACTCCTTCTCCAAGGCCCCACCCCCACTCATTCCATCACCCCTCCTTCCATAGGTCGCTCTTCCCCACCTCACACACTTGCTCATTTTCACTGGGCTGGGGTAGGGAGTGAGGGCTCTGGCTGGGGGTGCGGGCCCTGGGGTGGGGCAGAGATGAGGAGTTAGGGATGCAGGAGAGGGCTCTGGGCTGGGGCCGAGGAGTTTGGAGTGTGGGAAGGGGCTCCAGGCTCGGGCAGGAGGTTGGGGTGTAGGAGGGGGTACGGGCTCTGGGCTGGAGGTGCAGGCTCTGGGGTGGGGCCAGAAATGACAGCTTCAGGGTGCAGGAGGGGGCTCCAGGTGGGGCAGGGGGTTCGGGTGCAGCGGGGTAAGGGCTCCAGCTGGGGGTGTGGGATCTGGGGTGGGACTGGGGATGAGGGGTTTGGACTTCGGGGGGGCTCAGGGCTGGGGCAGAGGGTTGGAGCATGGGTGGGAGTGTGGGGGCAGGCTCCAGGAGGGAGTTTTGGTGCAGGAGGGGGCTCAGAGCTGGTGCAGAAGGTTGGGGTGCGAGAGGGGATTCAGGGTACGAGCTCAGGTAGCTCCCAGGAAGCAGTGACATGTTCCTCTGACTCCTAGGCGCAGGGGCAGCCAGGCGACTCTGTGCGCTGCCCCCATCCCCTGCAGCTCCCATTGGCCGCACCTGCACCTAGGAGCCAGAGGGACATGCCGGCTGCTTCCAGGAGGCACGTGGCACCAGCCGCTGTGGCCAACTGCACTTTTAGCAGCCGAGCCACCAGGGTCCTTTTCGACTGGGCGTTCCAGTCGAAAACTGGACGCCTGGCAACCCTAGTTCAGCTCCAGCAGTAGTAGCAATAGCGGTGTCTACATGGGGGGCTTAGGTCGTCTTAATTACATCACACAGGACATGAACTTTTTCACAGTCCTGAGCGATAGAGTTAAGCCGAACTAACTTTGTAGTGTAGACCAGCCCACAGAAAAATAGTGGAACATGCCATTTGCAGGCTAACACAGAGTTAATTCTGCTTGTACGTAATATACCTTTCCCCTACCTTTTGTCGGTCTTGTCTATTTAGATTGTAAACTCTTTGGGGCAGGGATTGTCAATAGCTCTGTGTTTGTACAATAGGGCTCCCTTCTTGGTTGGTGTCTAGGCACGACCTTAATAAACATAATTAACAACAATAGCAGAAATTCTGGAAACATCTAAAACCAAAGTGTGAAAGCCTAAAGTGCTAACAAGTTGTTAAAACTTCCAAATACCAGCTAAACCACTCCTTTGAGAACACTTAAGTTGTTTTAACCACATTGGGTCAGACACAACTCACACAGAAGTTAATGGGAGTTTTGAATTTTAATTTCAAATGGACCAGGCCTACTGTGAATGCATCACAATAAGGTATGGGCCCAGTCTTGTAAATTCTCCATGTTCAGGACTCCCATTGGCTTCAGAGGTCCATATGCAGAGCATTCACAGGACCACACACTTAGGCCTTGTCTACACTGCCACTTTACAGCGCTGCAACTTTCTCGTTCAGAGGTGTGAAAAAACACACCCCAGTGCCGCAAGTTTCAGCGTTGTAAAGTGGCAGTGTAGACAGTGCACCAGCGCTGGCAGCCGCGCTTCCAGCACTGGTAGCTACTCCCCTTGTGGGTGTTGCTTTTTTACAGCTCTCCCAGCACTGGTGCCGTGACTACACAAGAGAGAGCTCTCCCAGCTGGTACCACGACTACACAAGCCACGTTAAAGTGCTGCTGTGGCAGCACTTTAACATTGCTAGTGAAGACATACCCTTAGTAAAAGGCAAGTGCTGATCCCGTAGGCCAGGTCTACACTACAGACCTAGGTCAGTATAACTACATTGCTTTGGGTGTGAAAAATCCACATCCCTGAGCAAGTAGTTATACTGACCTAACACCCCTACCACTCCCGGGTAGACAGTGCTATGTTGACAGGAGAGCTTCTCCCGTCAACATAGCCACCGCCTTTCTGGGAGGTGGATTAACTATGCAGATGGGAAACGCTCTCCCATTGGCATAGGAGTGTCTTCACTTAAGCGCTACAGCAGCACAGCTGCATCAATACAATGTTTTAAGTATAGACCTGCCCCTAGTAGCAGATCAGAACTTATTTTGGGAGGCCCTGAGACAGTCTCTTATGAACTCTCACCTCTGTGAGAAACTTCCTGGATCGAATACCCGGTCAGATGATTGGCATTTACACCGGTCAGGGAAGATCAAATAAAGCCCTGAACTAAAGTTCTGTCCAGGACCCTTTTATTGGGACTGGGTTGATTAACAAAAAAAACAAGAAAATCAGAACTCCCTTTCACAGCTACCAGTGGCCTTTCCAGCTTTCAGCAAGCTAGGTAGGGAGAGGACATACCTTGCCCCCAGGTCACCACTACTGCAGCTGCTTCCTCTGTACTTCTATAGCTCCTCCCAGATCACCCATGTAATAGCCACAGAACCTGGGTTCTCCTTGTAACCTCTTACACACTGGGGGCTTACGGAGCACCTTCCTATCTTGACACATGTCCTTACTTTACCTTGCAATGAGAAGCTCTTGAGACCATACCCATCTGCCAGTTCTCCCAATTGCTTCCCAGTAACAAGGGCCTTAATCTTACCGCCCCCATCTCAGCAGCTGAAACTCTCCTGACTGGGTATAAAGGTATCTATGAAAAGAGAATGGAACATGAAAGAAAAAAACACCATAGCTCAGTAAAAACAAATACTGATGAGAGGAGCTGTACCCACCGGGGATAGCCTATTTAGAGCAAGATAATGCACCTTGTCCAGAAGTTGCAGTAAGATTTATCACAGTAAATATGCCGGTATGAGACTATGATGTGGCACACTCAACATACACAAGCCAGTTCTGCTTAGTGGTAAGATGAAACCTTAATTGTAGATATGGTTTTAAAAGTTATTTAAGGGTCTGGCTGCTCAAGAGACTGAATGAGACACAGACTTTCACTTCTGGGTCATAGGTCCACATTTGGCCCTGGTCAGCAGGGACTGAAAATGAAATAATAGCTGTTTGGTGGACTATGAAATAAACGGGTGGTCCCCATCTAGTTTCTAGTGCACACACACACAAAATCACCACCATTAGCAGGCTTGTTTGGAGTCAGGGAGGAACAAATGACTGAGCCTACTGCAAAGACCATGAAGAATGAACAGCTCCCAGTCATCCATTGCTGTAGCATCTCTACATCAGGACGGTGGTTTATCAATGAGGTGATGTATGGAAACTTCCATTGCAGCTACCATTGTAAGCAATGTTTCATGTAAGACTAAAACAACGAGGAGTCCTTGTGGCACCTTAGAGACAAACACATTTATTTGGGCATAAGCTTTCATGGGCTATAACCCACTTCATCAGATGCATGGATTAAAAAAAGTAGGTATCTGAAGAAGCGGGTTATAGCCCACAAAAGCGTATTGCTTTTTGTTTATTGTTTTTGCTGATACAGACTAACACGGCTACCACTCTGAAACCTGTCATCATGTAAGACTATCATTCTGGCACCTTCCACGAGAACTAAACTCACAAAAGAAAAAATAAAAATCTAAGTTGCAAGAAAAGATGTTTGGGCCATGAATACTTTTAAGAGACAATCTGAACTTTCATAGTCATTTACTCGGGGCAACAGATCTTCAATACTTGGTTTGATGCTGAAATGACATCTAGTGGCCAGTTAAAGTAATTCAATGAGTGAAATAACCCTACAAGATGACTCAGGGTTTTTGTTTGTTTGAAAATAGTTTGACGCCAGTCCAGATTCCATCTGTTTACAATAGCATTTCCATGTTTACATTATCATCTAGCAATTAACTTGGGAAAAGGGGAAGTAAAAGCATAACAAGGAACATAAAGTAACATCCGATTAAGCAGAAATGACTGTGCACATGACCATCTGGCACAATCACGGTATTGCATAGACTGAGATCATCTGACGCTTCTTGTATTTTTTTCTTTGTACATATTCATCCTTCCCCACCCACTACTCCCCTCTCTACAGATTGTTCCTCGGGGTCAGTATGGAGAAACTTGCATAGCTGCTACCTTGTACAGGTGTGTGGATAACAGACTTCAACTTTCCAGAGCCGGCAATACAACACCTAACTTTATTCTTTAAAGGATCAGAGGGGTAGCCGTGTTAGTCTGAATCTGTAAAAAGCAACAGAGGGTCCTGTGGCATCTTTAAGACTAACAGAAGTATTGGGAGCATAAGCTTTCGTGGGTAAGAACCTCACTTCTTCAGATGCCAAGTGTCTCTAAGGTGCCACAAGTACTCCTGTTCTTTTTGCCAATACTTCTGTTAGTCTTAAAGGTGCCACAGTACCCTCTGTTATTCTTTAAAGGGTCTAAATTTTAAAATAATTGTTGTAAACTATTTTTACCAATATTACTAGCAATGCTTTAGATTACTAAAAGTGAAAAAAGTAAACATTCAATTTGATTCTCACTATTGATGCTCTTTGTTTTTTGTATTATTTTCCATTTGGACAATGAACATCAGTGAAGTTAGTTCCATTTTGTTTAAAGTCAGTTTCAATTTAAAACAAATTATAAAAAAACCAACAATTTAATAAAGGAGCAGAAAAACCCTTATATATTATTTTAAAGGAATTTAAAAAAAAATTCCTGAAGGAGCAATTTTTAAAGTCCTTTAAAAACAACACAAGGTGGTTTTCCTGCTCCCTTATTTGTGCATATAGCAGTCTTTTCAGGTTTAGCGCTAGATACCCAATTACTAATTCAAAAAAATGCAAAGCACCCATCGTTCACCCCCAGACCCCCCAAGCGCACTGCCCCACCCCCTCGTTCCCCCTCCGGGCCCCCCAAGCGCACTGCCCCGCCCCCTCGTTCACCCCCAGACCCCCCAAGGGCACTCCCCGCCCCCTCGTTC